TTAATGCAAAAGGCTTTATTACCGATGGAGAAACAGCCCTCTAAAGTGCATTTCAAGAACAGTTGAAGCATTCGCAGAGTCTGCGATGCTTCAGACACTTCAAAAAGTGAAAAGGATCAGAGGTACTTTTTGGCGAAGACGTTTGGAGTTCGTGGGAAAGCGGAAGGGTAACATTGATGCAGTAGACGGCAAGGACCTGCGTAAACGTTTGAAATCCGCACAGGATGAAGTGGATGAAAAAGAACGACTGACCCTTGGTAAAGACAAGCAGTACACCTCCCAGTATTGGTCTTACTTGAATGACAATAGAAAGATGATGAGAAAACATGTGGTAGACGATGTAAGGAGGAAGGCTGGTCTGATAGATGGGGAAAACGGCAAACCGCAAAGGTGTTACACCAACCGTTCGGAGTCGATGAACAACCTTATGAAGGCAGCAAAGAACATCTTTACAGAGGAAACGGGTACTACTCATTTAACTAAACTCCAATTTAATTACCCGACACGTTTTGAAGCAATACACGATCATCAAGTTGACGAGTTTCAGTCCGCGGTGGCTAGAGTAAGCGACGAGTACGTCCTGGCAGACCACAGCAAATATTTACAGGTTCCAGCAGATTTGTGGTTTGATTGGTCACCCCAAACAAGAAATAAGTACATTGGAAATATCCAAAAGCTGTCCATGGAAGACATATTTCAACAGAAAGATGTCCCCTGGCCAAGTGACAGCATGAGTGAGGATCGCTGCGAATTTAGGGACGTTGAAGTAGACGTTACTGGCATCCTTTCAGACCACTTCGGTTACTCTGCAGACAACATCCATAGCACTAAAGCGAGAGGTACTAAACTTAGTCAACCACCCAACAGCCATTCAGCCCAAAGCCTCACTGACCCCGAAAGAAAACCTAAAGTTGGAAGTGGCTAGTCCAAGTGCTGGGAATAGAAGTATTCTCGTGACCGTTTACAGTGGTCACGTTGGATGTGTTTGCTGCAGGTATCGACATGACAACATATGTAAACAATCCGGCCATTGCTGTGGCTGCACGTCAATCCATTCTCTCCACACACTTTAATTTCCTCAAGAAGAAATCAGAGAAAGGAAGCCGCACGGCCCTCGCAGAGTATGATGTCAACAAGAATACAGCAGGAAAGAAAGGGGCTAGAAATAAAAACTCGTATAGGCCGGAAAGATCTTGTGGGAGTGGAGTAGAACCAAGTAGTCAAGCAAGGCAGACATTCACTGAAATCCACTATAATGAAAATCAATTTGTTTTGATGTTCCTGCCACAAGAAGCCAGGTCGTGTAAATCATGCGAAATCGAGTTCTGTCAACGCAAGCGAGTCATCCCATTCAATTTGGTGTTTGCTCACAAAGAACGCTGGTTGCATCCTGTTGATGGAGATTGATCGAAAGCGAAAGCATCAAAGAAGGAAACAAATCGCTTTTATCATACCGCAAAGAAATGCATCATTAAGAGGTTCCCCTATTTCAATTGGGATTATGTTGAAATTCCGTCCAGTGTCGCTGATTCTTTGAGTGAATCGCACAGGAAATATCTCAGGAGCGAGTTTAAAGAAGCTATCGTATAATTTGAACTGTTAGAGCATTTTTTGATTGGCCGTGGTGGAACTCCTTTCTTGTCTGAAATTTTAATTTGCATAGGAAAAGAAAAACGTCTGGCTTCTCCTTGTTTCCAAACGGCATTTATTCGGGGGTGCCTTTTGTTTCGACATCGTTTCCTCTATTTTGCTGATATAGAATGGTGGAAGATTACTAAGTTGTACCGAGCTTTTCCGTAATACACTCGAGTAAACGCCTTATTCTTTTGAACAGATGTGGCATTGTCGTTTATTCAAGGGCGTTGTTAACTAGAGTTAATACGGTATTTGTTTGTTTGTAAAATCGAAAACCTCGCTTTGGTGAATTTTCGGAATTTAACAAAAATGAACGTTTTACAGAGGTATAGTTATTGATTAATTTTCCCGGATTTGATAAACTTCTGTGTGTATTCCTGGTGTGCGATACCGAGCTGTATAAAGCTATGCAGCACTAGAAACTGAAGAACAGGCTAACAAAACTGCTCCACATAAATTTTACACTTGATGGTCTGTTTGGCTTTCACCTTTGTCATGTGTCGACATTCATTCGTTAAATCGAGGTATGTCTTACGATTAGTATTCTTGATTGTGTTAGTTGTAATCTGTAATTATCAGAGGCACCCAACAACCGTTTTCTGGGAAATATCTGTTCGGAGCCCTATAGAATGCCTAAAATTTTCGAGAGCTCATGAAGAGCAACGAATTTAGGAAATGTTTCTTGGTAACTGTGTGTTGGGCTCACACTTTCGGGATTTGTGTGGCTTATTCACCTAAGAATTTCGGATTTTGCAGTAATCAGCTAGATTCTGATATCGGCACCCAGAAATTTCGAATTTCGTGGCTCAGTTCTAAACTTTCGTAAAATAAGAATGGGGTGTCTGTGGTCAGCGTTGTCATCAGTGCCATCTGGCGTGTTGCACATTTTTCAAGAAGTGCAGTGCAAATTTAGTTAGTCAGGGTACTTTTACGTTTAAAACTGGCATTAAAATCACTTAAATGTCTTTTTATCTGTTCTTTTTTTTATTTCCTATAATTTTCTATACATGCTACGTCGCCCTAGAAAATTCGAAGACGTTCCCACATAGCTATCGTTTTCGGGAAAAAAACTGAAAGGACCCCTAAAAATTTCAGCTACGTAAACGTGACGTAAACTCACGTTTTCGTAAAGCTTTCACTGTCGGCTGTTATTTTCGGGAAAGGCGAACAACATCCCTAAAAAATTCGAGAGGCTCAAACCGCTCCTAGGACGACCACAGATCAAATTTTTCTAGCAATGCGAATTCGAATAATTGATTTATGATTACTTTTAAAGTACTCCCGGAAGCATAAAGAGGCATTTCAGATCATTTCTCAGAAAACAGCCCTTGGGTGCCCCTGAATTATAACGAGGAATTCGTTCAACGGAGGTTGGTTACATCGAGATTTTAGTGTACCTATCATTGCTGGGCTAAAGAAAATGGTCTTTTATATAGACGTTGGTTACATCGAGATTTTGCTGTACCAATCATTGCTGGGCTAAAGAAAATGGTCTTTTATATAGTGGTTGGTTACATCGAGGTTCCACAGTAGATACATGGATGAGGGATTCTCAATTGTTTGTTCATGTTTTGTTAACGTTCTTGTCGAGCACGCTGTTGTTGTGGTTGCTTAAAGATAAAAAATGTTGACTTTGATAGAAACGAGGCTGGGCATTTAACCCTTGGACAACTCTAGGATCTCCCAGTGACATGGTTATTTAATGTCATGAACGCTTTACAGCAAAAGATGATTCTGAAGAAACCTCAGACAAAGACCCTAGTCGAAATTTTTTTATAATTGAAAATCGTCAGAGGCAGTGCTGTTTTTTACACTCCTTTGATGTCCAGGAGTCGTTAAAAGCACTCGTTTCCGAGGGATTTTGAGGGGGGTCTTCGTTTTCTAAACAGCGGGGGGATGTGTAGAAAACGAAGACCCTGGTCGAAATTCTTCATAATTGAAAATCTTCAAGAGCCGTGTTGTTTTTTACACTCCTTTGATGTCTAGGCAGACCTTGGCAGCCGACAGCTGCCAAGGTTGGCAGCCGACCTTGGCAGCCGACAGAGCTTTTGCAAATCCTATAGCTGTCGTTAGGACGTCTTTCCGACATAACTTCACTCACATACTCGCTCGCTCGATCGATTCTGTTTCGCACGAAGTTAACAAATACACGTGTGTCAATGTTTTTGTCGGAAGTAAATTTTTGGCTTCCATCCGGTAAAAGCAAAAATCGATGTTCATTGGCTGCTTGCACATTTCCGGAAAGGCGGTCAAGCGCTGCTAATTAGGGGGCGTTTTGCGAAATCACAGGCCTTGCGGGCAGGCGAAATTTTTCCTTCCCCTCCCTCTCCCCCGTTGCCCATTTTTCCACTTAACACCTACTCCCTCGGCAAATATTTCCTCGCCCCAATCCTCCACTGTTACCAAATCTGAGATGGCGGCCTAATACGAAAATGTGCACTCGTGCGCCCAAAATACGCCGGCACTGCAGGCTAATATCGTTGTGGCTTTATTGGGGGGAATTTTGACAGCCGCCATGTCAGGCCTGTACGTTGAACCCCTGATACGTGAACACTGCATGGATCCTAATTGATAACACAGAATACTGCTTCACAAGATCACATACTTCAGAACGACTTGCTTCTTCACGTTCAGTAAAACACGATTCAAATCTCCTCAACTTTTGCGATTGAGCGTTCGATACTTTTGCTCAGTTACTTGTGGACCAAAAACAAACCCTCAACCAAAGCCGACCTAACCTCGTTAATGATACGCGATTTCGTGATTTTGTATGATACGTGATTTTGCGTGATGATACGTTTTTTTGCGCTGTTAATTACGACGTTTTAGAATAAGCTGCTAGGCTGCGACAGGCAAGCCGGATGGGACGCTTTCCGTCTGTGTATAAAACCATTTTTCCGTGGAAAATGAACAAGATGGCTTTTTTCCATTGAAAACTTTCAGGAAAATAAACGAACGTTCCTTTCCGACATTTATGATCACTTGAAGTGTGTTTCCTATCTTCTTTTTCAACCTCTTCGCAATCTACCCTACATAAAATTTATATCTTAAATATAGAACGGCCAGCGATAAAATTTGAGCGATGAAATTCTTATAGATCCGCTCTTTGCTGTGTGATTGGCATTAGCGCCGGTAAAAGAAAGAAAGAAAGAAAAGAAAACATCTCAAAGTGGGCTTGAGGGGATTTATGCAAATCCCCGCGCGCTACACGCAAGGAATTCGATGTCGATTATTTACGTACCCTGTTCACGTAGTACAAGAAAACAGCCAGTTAGAAATCTGACTTAAGATCGTGCTGAAAACTTCTCAGTCCAAATACTTGCGTTGAGAAAGAAATGAAGTATGGTTTCTCGGATTCGCACTTACTAGTAACTAACATCAAGGAAATCGGCTCAAAAACAGAGTGCCTCACATCGACAAATGGCAGCCTTCGAAGGTAACAGTTTTTAACTGGGTTCGCAAAAACTGAAGAAGAGGTGGAGCTTATCCCGTTTAAGGTCACTTAGGAGCATAACGATCAGTTTTTTCGACTCCTTTTCAAGGCCCTCGAAATTTTTTCTCTCTTCGCTACCGCTGTGTCATTGGCTGAAAAATTTCATGAGTCCTTGCTTAAGAATTTCACGAAGTTTTTTTTCAGAATATGAACTAATTCAACCTATTTAATTCATATGCAAAGAAAGTTGGACGACCTTGAACTACAAGACAATGCAAAGAGAAGGAGTTGATCTTCATTTCCTCAGGGCGTGATTTAATTTCCTTCTGCTGTCCAATTTGGCTGCAATATTTTCAGTACAAACACGAAATCTCACTCGCCTACTAGAACAGTCGAAATATCAAAACTTCTTGGCCTCACAGGAGGCTTCAGTTTTTATTACCTTCGTAACATATATTTCATTACCTTTTCTACATGAAGAAGTTTTGAGGTCAACATTAAAATACCTAAACAGAGCCCCCGAAATTACTTTGCGGACATGATTGTTTATGTTAACGTGCGCTTCTTTACGAACCTGAGAGCGGGACCAAGGGAAGCAAATCTTTATCTTGTGATAATTGCAATAAATTCATTAGCCCCCTGAGGCGATGAAAAATTGCGAATAATTTAATGAACGGGTCAATGTTAAAAGAGAAAAAAATTGCCATGGGAACTTGTACTGAGTAATAGCGAGGCAGGTGGTTTAATTTCAGTGTAAAATTCACAGGTGTATGACAATTCGATTGCAATTTCAACCAAAGGTAATTGCCCTCCTTTTAATAATACCGGGCTGAACTCATTTTATTTTCAGGACTGAATCTAATTCACGAGTGTCTAGGAGTGAGCTGTTATATTCAGAGGCCAAACTATAAACAAAAAACCATCAACAATTCAAACTACGGGTGACCACATGGTCTAAAATCAGTGATTGTATACATTGGTAATGAAAGTCAGATAGGATCAACAAACCGCGGTTAGTTGCGATTGGACTTCGTGGTTTCAAAGGCACGCTCCAATTCGCAGCATTTTTTCGGCTCACGTTTCGCATCAAGCCATAGGGCAAATACTATTCAAAACTGTCTCAAACTGTTGTTGATTTGCATAAGCTAATCCACACTGAATTACCATTTTTTTCATTTTCGTCAAGGTTCAGATGCTTTATCCGCGGTTAACAGATGTAGAAGGAAGCGCCTCGTATCGAAGACGCACAAATTTTGAGAGAAGATTTGAATCAGTCTAGGCACAATAACAACATAATTTAGTGGCCTTCCACGTGTAATCCAGAGGAAAGTTATCATTCTGTCCCTTGCCGTAAGGAGCAACTTACAATAATGGAAGACGAAACGGAGGAAAGACCCACGAAAACTATGAATTTATTCTCCGCGAACTCCGAGACAGATACATCGCGAGAAAAGCCAATGACGATTTTTGCTTTCTTTGTTTTCGGCTTCTTGATCTACGCGACCTACTCACTAATAATTTCAGGCGCTCAAGATATTCTGACCGGAACGTTTGTGCCAACATCAGCCGTACTAGTTGCCAATGTCGGACCGTATTTTATCATAACTGTTGTAGCACCATATTTCATCCAAAAGATCGCTTATTTCCCGCGCATACTGGCCATATTTTTTCTCATGGTGACTGGACTTACAATGGTAGTTGCCGCTAAACGGGTTGGGGTGAGGTTGTTGGGAATTTCTCTCTCCTCGTTTGGATTTGGTTTGGGGGAATTATCTTTCATTGCCATGACGTCGTTCTACCATGATACAGCTGTTTGCGCCTTCTCAGCCGGTACGGGAACTGGTATATCAATGGCACCACTTTATTACACAGGTATCTCTGTTAAAAACACCTTATTATCTTCATGATCCTTTGGCTAATCTTAATCGTCATGTGTAAGGGGACCTATACATAGGGCCGGATGGCCAAATGCAAAGGTAGAAATACATTTACAAAACAACATCACAATCTATCTATTTCTTGTTTGAAGTAAATGGAAAGTGATTTGCAACTAAATAGATCTGTAGCTGCCGAGTACAAAATGAAAAATTCAAAATACTGACTACGATCTTGTATATGAGATGTTAGTTCAATCATGAAGGTTTTTCTACATGCATTTGATGGCTATTTTCAATTGAAAATTTCATGTGTCGGCCATTCTACTCTATTTATGAATGGAATACTCCTCGATTGCATTAATATTTCTGAGGTCCATGTCATTGCTATCTGAAAGACAGACTCGCCCCAAAACGTCAGTTTAAAGTCACTCAGCTGTTCTTGGTAATGAATTTTTGGAGAGCAGAGGTCAGTTTGATTATATGTCTCTTTAAAAATTTGGTTTTATCATTCCCAATCTTTTCACTTTTATCTGATAAGAAGTGACAAGGAACCTTTAAATACTATGAAGGGTCACCGAAACCCCAGATGGAATTTGCCAGATGAGTTACGATTTTCTCGATTCGAGTTGCTCGCTAATATTATCATGTACACTGTGCGGCTAGTTACAAAATGTATAGTTCTTTGATGACTTTGAAAGCTCACGGCGAAAAACAACGGACAGTTTGCTTGTGAGTAGTCAGTTAAAACTGAGGCTTACTTGTCGATATTGCGGAAAATGAAGGCAGCGGCTGGGGGAGGAGATTAGATACCAATGATTGGTCAGGAAAAGATATGTTGTGTTAATTGGTGTCATACTAAAGTACCTCGTGGAAATTTTGTGTTAAACCGGCTTTTTTTATTTTTTATTTATTTTTTATCTCAAGGGTCATTTCGGAGTTTAAACAAAAACACCTTGCTTGTGAGTTTTTCATTTTCTACCAAAGGTTTCAAAAGACTGGAGAGAAATGGCCCATTCACCCAAGGCTCGATAAGCTTGGTCTTGGGCGAGGAAAACTGGGTCGAGTGCAAGAGGTCGAAGCTTGCTGGTAAACTTCCTGGGATGGGAAGACGACTTTGTTTATAGTCGGAATGCCAGCTCCTGTTTTTAGACGGAAAAAAAAGGAAAAAAAAACTAGTTGAACCGCTCAAAAAATCTTTTCGTAGCCTTTTCATTTAATTTCATTTCATTTTACCTTTTCTCCTCAATCGTTTAGAAAAAAATGCAAATTTTCACTTCAGGAACTATATACCCTATTTTCGTTTCTTGCACTCGAGGAAAACATTGTGGTATTGGACTTCAAATACATTCTGTTCAAATTTGCTTAGTACAACTTTTCCATTAAGCAAGAGCACCCTAGCCCACTGAGGTATCTCTCTCTCATTTTTTTTCCTTTTTTTAATTTTTTTTTACAGCTATGACAACGTGGGCTTGCATTTCTCCTTCTGTGACCATCTCCATCATGGCCGTCAGTTTGGTTTTCTTGCTGATTTTCTACGCTCTGATGGAGAGAAAGCATGCTCAGGAAGGACAAGGTGCGGCGAAGGGAATCACACATAAAGACATTCAATATTCACCAATTGATGAAGAAGATCAAGACACAGAGCCCAGTGATGATCTTTTAACATGGAAGGAAAAATGCTCAGCCATCAAAAGAGTTTGGCTGATTATCGCTTCCATAATCAGCGCGTGGATTGCTGAATACTTGATAATTCAATCGGTTATTACAACTATAGCGTTTCCGAGCGCTCCTTTTCCTCCTCGAGACCATTATCAGTATTACATCTTCGTCTTTCTCTTCGGAGAACTGTTCGGTAGATCGTACTTAATCGTTCTCTCCTATATTCTGCCGAACTTGGCCCGAAAGCTTACGGTGCGTAGGATATGGTTCCTCTCAGCGGCGGAGATTTCTCTCTTAGTTTTCTTTTTGCTTGCAGCCTGGTACCGCTTTTTGACTGGTGTTACGATAGTGTTAATTCTCTCCTTCATCGGCGGTATCATTATCGGTATCATGTATGTGAACATGTTATCGGTTTATTCCGAGATTGAAGATCCGAGAGCCAGAGAGTTTGTCCTCGGTTACGCTTCGGCTGCCACCGGCGCTGGTGCGATCACCGCTGGCTTGCTAGGATTATTAATAGAGCCATGGCTGCGTAGTCATTGTTTAACAGTTGCTGTTAACGGCAGCTTTTGCTTCACTCGGTTGCAAGGTGGTAGAGTTTGTAAATGAAGAGATTTCACCACTACATCAAGAAAAAAAAATTCTTGGAGAGGGGGGGGGGGAGGGGTGCTCTTCTCTCGGGATAGTACCAGATTTAAGGATAAATTCTCCTAGTTCACTCAGTTCCCGGGTCTAGAAAGGATCGTCCTCTCTTGTTCGAGTATAGAAAATTTCCATAGACTTAAGGAATATACCAAAATTTTAATGCTGTTCCTTTCTTGTACCGTGAAAATGAAGAGACCTGAGTTTACAAAAAAGCTATAGGTGTATGATTTTGCATTTGTCTGTGTGTTTATCATATAAATACAGCCAAGTGCCTCTGAATTACGAAAGGCATATTAGGGCTCAGTAGGGTTTGATCTTGCTTGGTACGAGGAAAGGTAGAGGACACTGTAAGTAACAATGATTTACTGATCGAACAAATAAACATCTTATGATGATATCCACTCCATAGTATATTCAAAGTTTAAATCAGGAGTAGTATAATTTTTAGCGTTGTAACGATGGGAGGGGTGGGAGGGTGGTGAAGTAGGAGGACTCTGACTCTGTTTTCAATATCTTTCAATTTTTCATTCTCGAAAATGAGATTGATATGTTGTCTAAACTTTTCTTAACCAGATAATATATCAAAAATCCGCAAAGTTTTCAAGCTTCTTAACATAGGGTGAAACGTGCCGAGATGGCTTGTTACTAAGTACAAATGAGAGCTGTGTGGAATTTTTATTCATAATATTAATAATAATAATAATAATAATAATATCATTATTCATTTTTATTTATGGTAATTTTATTGTTATTATGTGTTAAAATGCATCTCTTATTTTTACTAGGTAACAAGCCTTCCTGGCACGTTTGAACTTGAAAGCTTTGCGGTTTTAGATGTAATTATGGTATCTGACTTAGGAAAGTTTTGACATCATGTAAATATCATTACCAAGAAAGGAAAAGAAAGGGTTCCATTGTTGTTGCGTTGAAAGATACGAAAAAGGGTCAAATACCTTCGTGTAAATTTATGCATACCATATTTCATTTTCTTTTAATATGAAAATCCTCAACCCAAAACGTTCTTAAGTCATTGTTCGAATAAGATATCTGAAATGTAAAATTTCACTAAAAGCACTATGCATTTTTTACCGAAATCAGACATATCTTTGCGAATGTAAGTGATATTCCACAGCACCCCATGATTCATATCGGTCGCTGTAATTTTCTTTGGACCGCTAACTAACTGGTGGACTTTTACCACCTGCTTCAGAGTCATTAGTTTTGCTTTTCTCGATCAAAACGTCACTGATTATCAAAGGACCTTGGAAAGCTAAAAGGGTTTCAGATCTGGATCTTATTTTCCAGTTGTTTTTGGTCAGAAAACTCTGAACTAAATTCGCTCGTGCCTGTTTGACAAGCCTTGTGAGTTTACAGTGTATTTAGACGACAGGAAAAACCTGAATCATCTGGTAATCTACCTTACATTCAAAGCTGGTCAAGAACTAGCCCTGTTTCCTGATTTCTTTCCGGCCACCAGGTCGTATAACGTAAGCGAACGGAATGTGTCCTTGAACAATCAAAATTTTATTGACGACTTCGCTGCCATATGACGTGAGTGAAAGGACTTTTCCGTCTTCTTTTGATCGCGTTCGCAGAGGAAATAACTCAGGATAGAAACTGATATTCTTTCAAAAATTCGGAATTACCATTCGAACAAAGGGAAAATATTCGACAGGAATAAGATCCTGTAAGATCGCGGGTCAAAATGGAAACTGGTATAGAGACAGAAGGGGACCGAGAGCTGGGAAAGGACACCAACGACGAATCAAGCGACAGAAACGACAAAAGCAAAGATGTCATCAAAACTGCAAAACCAAAGAAGGAGCCATTACGGAATCTTCTGGCTTTCTATGCTTTCGGTGCGTTGATTTACACAGTATATTCTGTCATCATTTCAGGCGCACAAGACATTCTGGCGGGTACTTTCATTCCAACTGCCGCCGTGTTGGTGACAAATGTTGGTCCATATTTTCTTGTGACAATGATCGCACCCTATTTTATACACAAGGTGCCGTACGTCGTGCGAATAGTGGCGATTTATGCATTTTTTACAGCAGGTCTGTTTATCATTGTTTATGCTAAAGAAGTCTATCTGAAGCTAGTTGGAATTTGTACAACCTCCCTTGGAGCCGGAATTGGGGAAGTATCATTTTTTACCTTAACCGCGTACTATGAGAAGGTTTCGGTTGCTGCTTATTCAGCGGGCACAGGCTCTGGCTTTATTTTGGGACCTCTTTATTATACTGGTAAGTTAACAGGCATATTACGATTATTTATATAATAAAGTTTCCTGTGAAATATGGTTGCATTATCACAAACAAAAAGTATTTTAGAGTTCTAAAGATGACAAAAATTTAGGACATCAAGGTCTATTTTCCCTGAAAGAAAGAAAGATGTAAAACTGTGACGAAGAGCGTGTCCTTTGTGAGGATCCAAACCTCAGCCAGTTTCCATCTTGCCATCGAATGCTCTACTAAATGAATTAAGTACAGTGAACCTGTCTGTGTTTTTTTGGAGTTTAGTCCTGTTCGTTGTTTATTCTTATGGAGTCCAAGAAGTTGTTTTCTGGCCTCAGTTGACACATAGAGTAACTTAGCCTCAATTTTAATCGGCATAAAATTACCACAAGCCGTCACTCTTCGTTCTGACTCAGTAAGCTAGTAGCGATACTCTGATGACACATCTGTTATCGAAATGATAGAGTTTTTAGACGGACGTCAGTATGTAGGGCTGGTTTGGACTAACAGAATTGCAAACACCCACTAAACACACGTCTTAATTACTTGACGAGACGTTCTCGAGACGATTCTTAAGATCAGCTTGAAATGATGTTTTTTTTTTCCCTAAAGATCGTCAAATTAAAACTAAACTAAGTTGAATAGCATTCAAGGGTTTTGTCTCCTTTCTCAAACACTACCTAAGTTCTAGTTGTCAATTTAGTTCGTGTTGACTAATATTGGCAATATGTTGTGTAACTGCTGCCAGCCCTGGTCAAAGAATCATTCGGTTATGGAATTTTAGAAGGCATGACATCTCTCTGTGAATTCGTAAATTTGTGCGATTATTCAACATATGACCTGATCAACAACATTTAAGTCTTGGCAGGCAAATTTAACAGCTTTTACCATAATAAAATTGTAATTGGTATTTTAAAAGGATAACCTATGGAAAAAAAAAGGTTGCTCGCTTTTCCAGAAAACTGATGCGCGTGAATAGATGGCTATTATGTTTTGTTTCTCTTAGCTATAGACAATTTCACGACTGCGGCAGATTGACTTTGAACTCACACTGGCACTGAAAAAAAAATGAGGAAATTAGATAGTTTTATACCAGAAGTAAAGTTGATCGTAATCGCAAATGTTTGCGGAGCAAGGATGTTTGTTTTGGGTACCCGCTTTGTTTTAAAATGGCGTAAAACGCTACCTGTTATCTAATTCAGTATAACGTAAATATTTCAAACAGATTTCTGACACGGAATAGTGTCAAGCTGAGATAAATTAAAGTGAACAAAAGGTAAATTTTTTTTCAAACCACACTGAGTCACACTATGGATTAACGCTCATTTATATTCCATTGTACCAGTTCTGTTTATTGCGGGCTCTTAGGGGAAAAGCTGAGCAAACCACCTTTCTGGGGTTGTTTTTTTTTTTAAGCAAGAAAAGGATATAGTAAAAGTCTATTTACTGAGTTCAAGACAGATAGAACTGAAGTGATCTACTGAGAGTGGAACGTCTTTCGTATAACAGCTTGACTTTGTATCTCCTATTCACTTGCACTTTTGCATAATTTCCCCTTCTTTTCTCAGGTTTAACAACATGGAGCTGTGTTTCGCCGAACAGTGCAATGCTGATAATGGCTGGGTCACCTCTTCTCTATCTATTCTTTTATGCAATCATGGAGAAAAAACACTCTGTGGCTGCTGTCACATCCGGGGAACTTAACAAATCGGAGTCACAAGCGAACATGGTCACGTGGAAAGAAAAACTTTCTACAGCCGGAAAGATCCTCCCATTGGTTGTATCTCTGTTCATTGCCTACGTCAGCGAATACGTCATCATTCAATCTGTTATCACTACTATGGCATTTCCGAGCGCCCCTTTCCCGCCTAGAGTTCATTATAGATACTATATTTTTATATTTTTGAGTGGTGAATTTATTGCCAGGTCTTACCTTGCTGTGATTGCCTCCCTGAAGCCAAGCCTTGTCAATGTGTTCGCGATTAGACGCATATGGATATTATCGTTAGTCCTAGTGGCTCAACTAGTGTTTTTTACTCTAGCAGCATGGTATAGATTCTTACACGACGTGTGGATCGTTTTTATTTTAATTTTCATCGCTGGTTTAGGCGCGGGTGCAGCTTTCACAAACGCTTTTGTTGTAGTGTCAGAGACCGACCCCAGATTTAAGGAATTTGCCATGGGATTTGCAACCATAGGAATGGGGGCCGGAACATTTTGCGCTGGGGTAGTGGGACTACTTATGGAACCGGTGATTCGTGATCATTGTTTACTTGTATCAGACGTAGGAGACTATTGCTTTACCAGACCCTTTGGCGGATGGAATCAAACCTTAAGTTGCTGACACAAGCTGGACATTGATCGGGTGATGTAAGCGTGCGTGTTAAGATAGTCATGAAAAGTACTGCTGTTGGTGACATTGCCTGACGTTTAGACAACCTGGATAAAATCCATCGCCGGTCAGAACCCCACAAAGTCACAAGTATTTATCCCGAAGTTCATTTTCCCTGTTGCCAAATTTGGAAAAAAATGAACTGTCTGTAGCGTATGCACCTTGTATTTATTTTCGTACACTCCAGCTGTTGCTTTCTTCTCTAACCAATGGCACTATTTTCCCATCTGAGCGGCCGATTCATTGTCCGCTTTCCTTCCGCGTTTATAAAGCCGTCTCTCTCTTGTTTTAAATATCTTTTATTAGTCATTAGTTCTCACACCAGTGGTGAGTTGATCAGCTTTTCAAATTTGAACTTAGTTCCCATGATGCGTGGTGTTGGCAATTTCTCTCAATTTCAAAACCTTAGTCTTTTTATTTTTAGAATTTTTTTTTTCGATATTACTTGGCCTGTCTTAACCTGGGTACCATTAGAATCGTAAATGCTAAATGTAGAGATATTTTGTAATATCAGCAAGATAGATAAGTTAAACTAAAAAGATGATGAAAAAAGAGCAACTGGCGCGGAAAGTTTGGGTATGAAGTGAAGACACTAACAACGCCGTGTCACATGCACCCTCTTCGGTTGAGTCAGTGCACCAAAAAAATATGATAATTCAGTCAAATTCAGGTATTAAAACAAACAGAGGTACTTAAACTGAATAGTTCGACATCTTAACAAAAAAATACCTTTATTTTAATCATGATATTTTTTATTATGATTTTTCAAGCGCGAAGTTTTGTCTCTTTTATTCAAATTGGTTCTATATGTTTTACGTTGTTAGAGTGAGTGCTCACTGGAAGATTTCGTTTTCAAGTTGTTTGTTGCAGTAATTGTCGTTGATGTACCGCTTTCTCCTTTGGCATCAGTTCGCAATACTTGATATCAGTTCGTAATACTTGATATCAGTTCGTAATACTTGATCAGTTCGTAACACTTGCATGTTCAGTTGTGACTGGAACCCATGTGATGACCTTAGTGTAAAATAAAATAGTTTATAAACGATACTTTTTTCATTCTGATTATTTTTTATAGATAATAGCGGGTTTTTAATCGTTGCTTTATTTTGTTGAGTCGCCACTATTAATTGCTGACAGCAATTTAGTTTTCAAATTTTCTTTTATTAGTCTTTGTCGAAATAAGCGTTGAAAGCAAGTAAATATGGAAGGGAAAGTTAAGGACTTTATCCTTTACCCAAGCATCTGTGTACGTATTCTCCATACTGTTCTCTTTACATTTCAAGAGCTTTTCGAGTTCGCTTGCCGGCTTCCTTTAATCTCATGACCTCAATGTTTGATTCAAAGGTGATCATATTGCTGAAGAAATTAGGAACTTATCTCTCTTAGGGGTTTGAGGATCATGATTTTAACATATATGAGCACGTTAAGTATGGGTTTCACTGTATTCCTATCGGTAGATATTGGTCCCCACCCCCCCCCCTATAGCCCCAATAGAGACACCATTATATTGATCCCGTCATGCTTCTTGATCAGCGAAGGTTTCTACGCTCATTTTACGTCTGAGAGCTCTAAGAAAAAATGACTAATCCTTATATTAAAGACTTCTAGAAGGGTGTGAAAGAGTGGCAATAGAGCGGTCTATTTTCATTTTAGTATTCTTTACGAAAAATTTCGTAAATTCGCACAAGTTGCTGGTTAACCGCCTCCCGGTTAGCTCAATGGATAGAGCGCTGGACTGTTGTGCGGGAGGTCGAGGGTTCGAGCCCCGGCCGGACCAACACTCAGGGTCTTAAAATAATTGAGAAGAATTTGTTACCTTTCTATAACATCAAGAAATGGTTAGATATTCTAGTCTTCTCGGATAGGGACGAATAAATGGAGGTCCCGTCTCCTGCAGGGTTGGGGTAGGAGACGTTAATTTCCCACACACGAGATTACTGTGTGATGGATGTCCTCCCCTGGGGTGGGATGGGTGGGATATAGGGCGCACTTAATTTGGAGCCTCGCTCTGTTGTGCGACCCTCACCACACTCTGGTGAAAGTGATTAAATAAATAAATAAA